GAGCTAATGGGAAAATAGATGGCCAGCAAAAGGAGTTGCCTTCTCCTTCATTAGTCATGTAACTTCTCCTGAGAAATAACTTTTTCCTAACAATGGCATTTAAGAGTTAACATTTCCAAAAACAACATACATTCTTCTGTTTCGTCGGTTCTGTCTTTCTAAAAGATTGTGAAAGAGGCAGCAGTTTTATATGTCCTGCAGAAACCTCATTCAGTTCTTAATTTCTCCTCCTTTTCTTCCCTTCCTACAGAACCGCTGCTTATCAGTACAGAAGCCCAAAGGCTTATCCTGCCTGTTCCCGCTCAGTGCCGACCGCCTGCGCGCTGCCAGCCGGGTCAGGATGCCTGAGCTGCCTGTTGGGAGGCTCCAGCTCTTCCCGTTGGAACACGCAGCTTTGTTTCTGAGACTGATCTTAATTCTTCATCTCGAACAGCCTTTTCTGGTGTGAAATCCTGGCTTTAGTGACGCCAACAGGACTTCGATTCCAAGGACTTCCAGCCTTTTGAACTGCCATTTAAGCAGCTCATCGTTATTGTGTGACGCTGTAGTACTTTTCCCTGCAAATAGGTGTTACGTCACCTGCTGTCTATGTAGAACATTTCTGCCTATGAAATATAAAAACAAGCAAATAACTCTGAAACTTTTGTGAATAAAACTAAAAAATCAAGAACAGCTAAAGGTGAAGCGCACACTAATACTTATCTTGCTTGTCTGTACCGAATTAGCTAGCTGACCTTTTCCGAGCAGTATAATGTCAGAGTGATTGGCATGCCCGACCTAAGACTTTATTTCTCCTTGTAGGGGATCTGACCTCTGGCTGGATGTATACATCTGCTTTACCTTGCATTACCAAGATCAGGTATTTTATAAATGCACGTTTTCTGTGTTTTTGTATATAGAAAAAGGATATTCTAGATCACTCATAAATTAATTGATAAATAGCCTGCAGTACATGGAGCTTATTGCAGTTCCTCACATTTATTCACTCTGGGCTGTGGCAGTACTTTTCCCTCGCCATAGTTAATGCTGAAACCAACTTCTTTTACAAAGTCTTCTCTTAACTTCTCTGCAGTTATGCCGAAGACAGAGGAGAAGGTTCTGCAAGTTAACCATTCCCATTGTTACGTTGGGTTTATTTTAATTTTTCTGGAATACTTTTTTGCCCAGGTTTGCTCAAAGTCAGCTTGAACTTCAAATGCTTCTCCATCCCATTATCTCCATACCAGCGGTACAAGGGATGGACTAACCCAGTGGCCACGTCCTGCTCACTGCTGGGCTCTGGTGTGGCTGTCCGAGCTATCGCCCTCCCAGCACGTACTGGCGTTTCACCAGTCTAGCGTTAGTTCGTACCAGATTATCTGTGAAAGGAGGAGGAACTAATACTAGAAGACATGTCCTGTTCTTAATTTCTTCTTTGTCAATTATGCTTTTGTCTCTGACGTCAAGAATTAAAACGAAATTATCTGGATTAAATTACTGACCCTCCTTGTAAGAACATAATACCATTTCAAATGCTTCTCCAAGGGCAGGTATCCACTGAACATTCTGAGAAGTTAATTTTCAATGTTATGTTCCCCAAATTAAAGGAAGTCCTTCTCTTTAAAGGAACCGATACGATGGCGATGTTCAAACCGTTCCAGTTGACATCAGGGAAAATTCATACTGCCTCCCACTCACCCGTCACATGGAGAAGCTGAGGACTCTTCTGGCAACGTGCTTTGGGAAGAGTCAAGCAATTTATGGATTCAAAGGTATATTTATATAAGTGTTTCGCATTTGTTACAGAAGGTATTTGCAACTCTCCTGATCACTCTTGTTCCCATTTGTAAATATTGTGAAGTCTTAGGTAAATTTGGTCAGGGAATGGATCCTCTTTAAGTTTAGTGTCTTCCTTTAGGGGGAAAAACACAAAAAACCAAACCTAGTCCAGCCAAACAAACCCGAGATTTTTCTGTTAAAGAGGATACTTTCTTTAACAAACAAACTCTCAAAAATGTTAATGCATTTTTTTCATTAGTCTGTGCGCAAATTTTTTGGAAAGTTATATTTGCGTAAGCAACTGCTTTTTCTTTTTTCCATTCTAATGAAAATATTTTTAATAAATATTTTCTTCAAGTTGTGGAACACACACATTGCTAAGCAATGGCTAAATTTGATTGCGTAGAAACATATTTGGGAAACAACAGTTCCTCTTTAAGACCCTAATTGTCATGCACAAAACAGCTCAGAGGTTTCCCTGGGCTGAAGGATCTGTCCCCATGAACTGTGCTGCATGTTCAGGTTTTTACCCTGTACAAACTGCTAGGTAGATTACAAATAGAAAAAAAAAAATCTAGATTTTGCAGAGATTTTCGTGATTAAAGTTAATTCCACTAGCCTTAATAACAGTTTGTTGTGACATTTTGATTTTTTTTTTTTCATTTTTATTCTGTACAAACAAATAAGTTCCCAGTGTATGTTCCTGGTGTGGAATATACCACGAGTGACTGTTGTCTTACACCTCTGGAGGTGGACAGCTGTTGATAAGAGGGTGGCATATAATCTCACTAGTATGGTGGAAAAAGAATAATGCATGGTAAATGTTCCCCAGGGGAGATGCACCCTTGGGAAGACATACCATGCACATCAGACAGTTATGCCACTACCTTTTCCTCAACAGAAAAGTAAATACCGGTGGCTCAAAATGTCAATTCCTACTACAGTTTTATTTAATGCTTTCTTGTCTGAGCTCCCTTTACTTAACTAGAAAGCATTCTTCTCCTCAAGTAGTTATTATTAATGTGTTCTGTAGGTTTTCTTAAGTAAAAAATATTTGTACTTAAAATTTACATCTACAGAAAATATTTTACTGGTATTAGTTAAAAAAAATACAAGTTCTTAGCTGCAGGTAAGATAATGTGGGTTGTATACAGTGTGATAGAGAGAATAAGGGCCATTCACTTTGAAAATCAAATATTGCCCTTGAAATGTTGGGAAAACTGCATGGGAATTTTGGAAAAGGGCTTTCTGCCTTGTGTTAGGAAAACTGCTAAAGCTGTCAATGTTAATTTTGTTATGACACTGACAAACTGACCCCCAGCAAATGGAGCAGTATAAGCATTAAGGGAAATTTAATCCCTGATCTCTTTTGTGGGTCAACACCAGGCTCGTGTGCCCCAGGGACCAGGCTGAGCATGAGGATGCTCGTGGAGCACTCGGCCTCCGAGGAGCAGCCCTCGCTCGGTGGAGACCCCGCGGGAGCCCCGGCGCGCTGGAGCAGGCTTCCAGGTGGGTAGCGCTGGCGAGGGCAGGCGTCTGCTGGGGGGCCGGGATAATGTGACCCTTTGGAAAACCAGAGGGATTAATTCGATGTACTGTGAACTCTAATAAACCAGACTCTCAAAGGAGAAGTGATTTGAAGCAAAGACCAACTATCACCTTTTCCTCAACTGGAGAAAAGTGAAGCAAAGACAGTGAGAGACGGACAAAGCAGTCAGACCGGGGACTAGTAACGGCTTACGGTGTGTTTGCCACAGCTGATGTATGTTTGTTTTCCACTTCTCACCTCCTGTGCAATCTCAGGCCGTGCTCTGTGCTCTGCCCTTGCTTATATTTGATGTTGCAGCAAGAAAACAAGGTGCCATTAGCTTTTACTTGAAAGGTCATATTGAAGTTATTTTCCTCTAATCTCAGGGATTTCAACCATAGCAAAATACAATAGAATTTAAAAATCTGTACTAAGCAACCCCCTAACCTGACCGTATCACAGAGAAATGAAGTTAAACATGGAATTGTATATTGGACAATTACTGCAAAATTGCTCAAATCACTTTTCAGTCACTGTGGTGACTGTTCTCTGTGCGAACGAGAATGAATTCCTCCAAATTTAGAAAATGATTCTGCAAATTTTAGCTTGCCATTAATAAAAAACAAATGTCAGGACAAATCAGTGCACGAAGGCATGTTTATTGTGAAGCTCATGGATAATCCCATTCCAGCTAGTAAATGTGTTGGTGTACCAGATACGCCACTGAGCTCCCAGGGCTGGATGGAGATTCGGATGTCTCAGCTAAGCCATGGTGACTGACCCTAGATATGAGCTTTACCTGTCCTAAATACAGAATAATGTCCATTAGCCTAAGCATTGTAGAAAAAGACTTTCCCCTACACTTGGGATGGGTTAAGAAGAACGTACCTTGTCATTTCAGCTTAGCTTAGCTGAAATACTGTTACTTCTTAAGCTGCAAGAACTCAACTTTATGGCTAAGCCTTAAGTACCTTTTTGTAACTTCAAGCATAAGCTTATGTGGTTTGCTGAGGCAGGGCTTACATTTTGAAATTAATGCTAACATTTATGCATGTGCTTAATTTTCAAGCACTGTCAGTACTCACATTGGACTTGGATTTATCCATTGAAGGACTGAGCTGTAAAGAAGAAACGAACCTAGTGGGATAGCATCCTGTGTGAATGTCATTCAGAAATATTTGCAGAATCAGATCTGCAGGTTCGAATATGTCCTGTGGCTATTTTATGGCTTTCACAATGTTACCTGTTCGTTCTGTCACTTTTAATTATTTTTTTTGTTACTAATGGAGGGCTTGAAATTAGTTTTCAAATTTTATTCTCTGTTGTTCAGGAAAAAAAGAAAAAAAAGAAGTATCTATACAGTGTTAACATGAATATTGACCACAAGGTGAGCAAGACCCTCTTTTTTTTCAGAAGCTTGCTTGTCAGCATGCCATGATAGATCAGATGTAAAGAAAATCACTTCTGCAAAACCAATTTGCTAAGGGGCTTGTAAAATCCATTTTTAAAAAGTTACTGAGGCGAAAAAGTGAAGGATCAGCCAACCAGATATTTTGATCGGCTCTTCAAGGTCAAAACCTGATTACTAATTCATCAAATATCTTACTGGTAGCACTGTTTGAAGAGCAAACAACTCTGTGCAGATGTTCTCCCTAATAACTCTAATACCATGGAAAGATGGGTAGGGTAGGAACAAACAGAATTTTTTACTTACTTTTGGCAATGCTACAATCATAGGAGCTGTAGTCTTCAAAGCACTGGCAGCCCAGTTCCGTGCATTGTCCATTGCCGTTACAGAAAGCAGGACATCGGAGGATGGTGAGGATTTCCTCCTGGGTAGCAGATGGCTGGTTTCCAACATGAAACATGCTGTTTCTGTGTTTTAGCACTCTTCTTTCACATTCATTTTCCAAAAGGGCTATCAGTGCCCTCACCCAAGCCACGTCATCTTTGAGCTGCAGATCTAAAAGGCATATATCAATTGCCTTATCCATCTGTTTTCCAAGGAGACCTTTACACACTAAGCCGATGGAGGAATTTGCAAGAATTTGGTGGCAAATGTCCCGAGCTTTGGTGGCAGTTAGGCCATTGGGACTGGGCCATGCCAGTGGAAGTTTTGTCCGAATCCCTTCAAAGTAATCCTCTGGGAAAAAATACGCAATGCTCTCCGAGTCTCTCTGGCTCGGGCTATGCGACGGGTGAAAGGGTAAATATTCATAATATTCTTTTTGCCTTTTGGCTCTCCTTAGGTCTTCTGTTGGTTTCGCGGAGTTAATGGAACCGTTGTTTTTCATGGACACATTGTGTTTGAGGGGTTTTAATTGGTCCTCGCGGCTACCTCGCCTTTGGACTGATTTAGGCAGGTATCTTTGATCAAAAGACTTGGTCAATAGTTTCTTATCTTTGCGTAAAGTAGCCTCTATTTCTGAGTGAGTGACAAACTCTGACGTAACATCTAGATAGGGGATCGCTGAGGTGTAATCCACATGATCATAATGGCAACCAGAAGGTTGAGGGAGAGGAGTCTGGAAGGCACTCAGTGTGTTTACCATGGGCACGGACTTAGTGCTCTCCTTCTGACATCTGCAGTAATTCTTCCTTTGCTTCCCCTCAGAAGGTGCTGGAGCCTTGTCAAATAAACTCTTCCCTGGAGGTATTCTGATTTAAAAATAGAGAGAGATTAGAGGGAGGAAACTTTCAACAAATTATTCTACAATACCAAGAAAACTTTCTTTCCCTAAGGCTGGGGAATGTATAAATTCCCAATCTACCGAAGTACTTCAGAAAATGCTTAAGTTTAATCTCTGTTTTCTTTAGTCACTTTTGCACTGCCCTTCTTGAGTTGTCCTGCGCATTTTTTAGCACTACATTGGGACATTTTAGTAACAGATGCTTAAGTGCTTTGCTGGAGCGTTGCCTAACTGCTTGACTTCTCTTTGCAGAACTTTCTTTAAGGTGCAGGTTCCCCTTTGCATATTACACATGAAATAAGGCCTTGGATTTGTCCCTGGTGCGACTCAGATACGGCTCGGAGAATGGCAAAAAAGACGTATTTGTTTCAAATGCTTTATTGTGAAAATCAGCTTTATCTATTTGCCTGTGCTCTCTTTACCAGGTGTTTCCTCTAAGACTTGGATCACTATGGTTTTTCTTTTACATTTTTTTTTGCTTTAATTTTTTTTTATGCAGACTTCATTTCATTCTTGTCTTCTGATGGAGCTTTCTTTGAGCTTTTCTTTTGACAAAAAGCAGTTTTGTATTGATCATAGGGCTAGGCTATCACCTAAGGCAAGGTGATTTTTTTTCCCCATTTTAATTTAGTCCAGCTTTAATGATGCATGAACCTGTAGAGTTCGGTTTGAATAAACAGCCATGATTAAAGTTTCTTCAGAAATATCATGAGCACAAGATCTCTTATTGATCTTATTGTGCAGCACAAGAGGAATCCTGGAGCTTCATAGAAAAAGATATGCTTCTTGTCCCAATGGTTGGCAGCACTTTATTTCCAGACAAATTTGAAATATCACCAAAAATTTAAATTATTTTGGCATTAATTTGTGTCTTGCAACCAGAATGCAGAGGTTTCAGGAAAGTGATAGAAAGCAGTTGCCAACATTTTGGAGCCAGACACTAGATACTGTTGTAGGAAGAGTAATTGCCTTTATCCAGATTTTCCAATATATTTTGGAAATGGCATATATGATATTATTATTTTGATCATTGATACAATAGTAGCTTTTAAATAAAACATTACAGCGACACAAGCAAAATGACCCAATTTCTCCTTCTGAAACATGAGCCCGGACATTTATGAAGCCATTTTTCCCAACGAGCGGGCGCAGCAGAATACAATATGATGTGACAGGACAGCTTTCGTGCCCACAGGACTGCTCCAGCTATTCTGTGCTTCCCTGCAGGCTAGGGCAGTAATGGATATTTGCTGATTGAGGGAGTGCTGAAACAACTTACAGTCCTTCGGACAACGCAGCTTTGGAATTTGAGTGGGCATCCGGCACGTGTGGTCTCCCCGGCTCTGCCTGGTGCTATTGCCTGCTCAGACTTCTGTCATGAACTAACTGTAAACCTAAATTAAGGTGGCAGAACTAGCTCTTTCTTTGAGGGAACATGACAAAAACTAGAAGCTCTAGGTAAATACTGCATATTTAATAAACAAATAGAAATCACATAAACTGGTCCAGAGTCAGGACAGAAACTTAAAACACAAATGAAAAATTAAGCAAAATGAGAATTTCTTGCCTTGGAAATTTATTGAAACAAATTGCTTTGTTATTCCTATGTGAAACCAAATACTTTCCTTTGGTCATCTCTGGTCAACAGGACAGGGGTGTATGGTGTGGAAAGGATGGAGCCACTTCAAACCCCATCCTTCCTCACAGGCATGCACGTACCGGCAGCACTCAGGGAGCTAGGATGTGCCTTCTGTCACCCGCATAACATGACTAGACTGTCATTCCCCTTAGCTGCCTGCCCATTATAATCAAGGAAGAACTGAGGACAAGTTTTTCAAACTGAGTTGGATGCAATTACAGAGAGAGAGTCTGAAATTAATAGCATTGCTGCTGGTTTCTCAAAAAATTTGAAAAGCGGTTTGAAAAATTTATTTTACCTACTTAAAATACATGTTTTAAAATTCAGCTCTTCTTTGGCTGCTACTTAAGGGTTAGGAGGCTCTGATCTTGTTTCATTGTTTAAAAGTTGCATTGGAAAGCTGATGTTTAAAACAGGTCTGTGCCTTTCAGAGCCCTGCAGCTGCTGCTGCCAGATGGTGAGCACTCAGGCTAGCTTCAGGTGCTGCAGAAAACCTAACACGCTTTCTGTGTTATTTAAAGTGAAATTAAAAACAGCAGCAGGAAAAACACCTCCCAGGTTTTGTTTTTTACTGCGCCATTTCTCTGTGGGTGGCACAGGGACCGATCCAGTCTCCGCTGGAGGTGGCCTTAGCCTTTCCATGGGCTTAGTTGCTTTTTTAACCAGGTTGTGAAGGGTCCTTGACAAGCCATCCTTGGGAGTGCTGCAAGGTGAAACTCATCACCCCTCTTGCCCTTCTCACTTAATAGGTGCTTCTCCTCCCTTTCCTGAAGTATCTCCACCATATGTGCCAAGCCCTAGAAAACTCCTCACTGTTTTATAGGAAGATTCCTATATATTGTGCTTCGGCTTCTGATCTTTCAACTGGCTTTGAACAAGTCCTCCTAAGGATCTTGTTAGCCCCTTTTTGGGTAGTCAGCCGTTCGTTGTTCTTGCACCAAAGTATTTCTCCATTTGCCTTCCCAGAAGGAAGCTCTGACTGATTATCACATTACTAAGAAGTTAAAGATGGCTGTTGACTTCTAAATAATGCAATTTATAACAACAGATCAAAAGTACCATTAAATAGCCATAGTTGAGGCCCATTGAATATAACTAGAACATGGTAGAGGTGTTTGTTTATTTTCTGAAATGTAATAGGTCTAAAATTTATTGTTCCTATAGGATTGCACTGTGTCCCCATGTACAGATTAAGTGGTGTGTTAAGGCAGTTCACCTGATTTTTCCTTATTTGCAAAACATACTTCACAAACAAACCTACACAGTCAACTAAACCCATTTTGGTTTTGAGAACCCCTGTTCGGCGCATTTATTGTTCAGCAACAGGAATTAAAAATGTGGCATAGGGATAGGGATAGGGACAGGGAAAGGGAAAGAGAGAGGGAGAGGGACAGGTTTATGTCCGTGCCAGATTCCTGGCTTTGGTTCTGGACCATCTGTCTCAGAAAGTGCAGTTTTTAGAGCTCACTGTCATCATTAGTAGAGTAGATATTAAGTTTTAGCATGGTACCTATATTACCACACTTTGTCAAAGTGTAACATTTAATCTATACTCACATATTGTAATTAGTGTTCAGGAATAAAAGAACAAGGGAAATACCAAACCCTTAATTAATCCCTATTGTCAGTTATCTACATTTTCTAGTGTGGGTGAGAACAGCATTTTTTTTAACAGCTGAGTGGGATCTTAACACTGCTGTTAGCATGACATCACTTGTGAATATGACGCTTCTCTCTCAGTAACTGCTTATGTGTATCATGCTGGCTGAAAATTAAGCCCTGTGCATTCGGATGGTGATGGGTCTCCAGGCTTCCCTTGCTCGATTAAGCAGACCTCTGCCAAGTCATGAGGGGAGCGGGTAATGAAATAAACCTATCAACACCCCTTGATGCAGTGCTACAGAGCATCTCCCAGGCTGGGATCCTCTCCCGCTTTGTACCTCCACTCCTCTATGAAGTCTTCCTCAGGCACGTTGCTCAGGTCGTTGTGCCCGATCCCGTCAAAGAGGCCACACAAACCGCTGGTGCTGTTGAAGTCGCTGCCCGGCGTCCTCACCGTCAGACCCATTCCCCACTCGCTCATGTCGGCTCGAACAAATGCTCCCGAAGGGAACAGGATCTGAAGAAAAAAGCAATGAATTGAAGCTGTTGCCAAGCTTTTTATGCAATAAAAAAGACCGTTTCTATAAATGAAAATATCAAAGTAGGACGTTGGTAATGGTGGAGGTAATTTAAGATCACTTAGATATACCACAAATATTTATTTGTGCTATTATTTAGCTTGCTTTCAGATTCTAACGTACTCATATCTGATAGCATTACATAAATATAAAACTTCACAAGTACTTTCTTTTTAAATGAATAATTACGTCTATTGAAGTTTTCCCACTGGTAAGTTACCAGCTAATTTTTGAAGCAACATCCATGACAATAAAGCCACCCTTGTGTCTTTGCCTGGGAAATAATTTCTTTTAGCTAAACTTCCAACTCTGAAAAACAGCTTTCTTCCCTCTGAAAAATCGTTTCATTTTCCAAGGCCAGATTACCCAGAAAATGATGGTGTTTTAAAGTGGATAAAGCAATTTCCTCATTAAAGAACCTGTGGTAGGCTTACACTGACCTTTAAAAGAAAAAAAAATCTTGAGGTTAAGACAAGGGAGTAACTGTGTGGATAATGGATTTTTCAGATTGGCTTCCCAACCAAATAATAATAATAAAAAAAAATCTGTTAAACTGAAATGTATTTTTTTTTTTTGTTTCCTTTATATTTACAGGTAAAAAGAAAATTATTTTGAAACTGGTCTATGCCAGGAGTGGGAGCAGGAGCACTCTATCCTGGTAAGTAACCTCTTTTTTTTTTTTATCAAAAATTAAATGTTTTCAGTTAATCTTAAAAAGTACATTAAATAGTTGGAAAAATCTCATTACAATAATTTCAAAGTAATTAATTTCCTTTTTTGAAGTCACCTCTGCCTAAGTATAATTTATTCAGCCAAATAATGTCCATTGCTTTTCTTTCTTTCAGTAGGGATTTTTTGGTCCCTTATAAGTTCCTCCCCACCAAATCTATTTATATCTGTGAGGAGGCAACTAGCTTATACTTGTGTTTCTCTGCTGGAATCCAGACTTTACACTTTGGCTGCACTAAATAATAATCTTGCCCATTTTAGCTTCCCAGTCATCATTTGAGGGATGAGAATACTTTCTGAGGAGGCTTTCCGTGAGCGATATCCTCGTCCAGCTGAGCGGGGCAGCGACGTGGCACTGACTGCGGTAACAGACGGGGACACTAGTTGCAAATGTCCCTGCTCATTGCAGGGGGGTTGGACTAGCTGGCTTTTAAAGGTCCCTTCCACCCCAAACTATTCTATGATTCTATGAGCTCAGGCCCCCCATGTTTTGATCAAAGCATTTAAAGCACCCTTTTTAAAAAGATCATTGGCCTTGGTGAATAATGGAAGTCATCATATAAAACCTATTCTTTGAATACATCAGAAGGTCTTGACTGAAGCTCCACCTTGGCCGAACCTCCACCTTGGCTATATGTCTTGCTTCCCGAGGTAAGTTTTAAAAAAAAAAAGACTAAAAAAAGCTCAAATGGCCTGATGAGTTAAGTTTTTCATAGTGCTTTAACAGGTAGAGCAGCAGAACTGCAGTTGACACAGTGCTGGGTAGGATTTGATTTGATTCTTCACATAAATATGTGTCCTCTAATTACATGCTTTACTACAGGGAGGAGCATTTCATACAAGGCTGTGTATAAAATCCTTGCAGTCAGGACTGCATGAGCTGCTTCGTTCCTCTGTGCTGTCTGGATTAATATTTCCAGGTGTGGATTTATTTCAGGAATTCTGAGTGCTGTAACCCTTTCTTCTCCATCTGCCACTGAGGACCTAATAACTCTCCAGGTTTTCTGTAACCCACCTGGATTTGGTGCTGCTGACTGAGACTGTGAAGAAGCTTTTTTGGGACCTCAGTGTGCAGACATGTCTAGTTACTGGCTGCTGGAAGGTGCTACCTTACACTGAAAAGAGAGTGACTTAACCCCATTCCAAGCGTCATCGTTGAATGGCGTGGGAGTCGCGGGGCAGGCAGCTCCCGCGCTCTGCGAGGTTGGCGTCGGGCAAGTGCTGAGCACCTTGGGATGCAGCGTGCACATAGCCAGGGACCGTATTCGTTGCTGCACAATTCCTAGGTTCCCGTTCAGATCAGGGCAGCATTCGTATATATGTCCCAGGGGTGTTCTGATTTGTTCCACTGAGATTTACATGAGGTGTAAATGAGAACAGGGTTTCCTTGTTAAGATTATTCTGGTAATAAAACAGTATTTATATCGCATTCAGTTGCAAAATGAAATGACAGCTTGCTTCCTGTTTTTTCTCTATTCTATAATTAACAGACTTTCAATTATTACCTTACCAAGAGCTATTCCAAGCAAGATCATGACGAGAGCCAGGCACAGGCACTCCCTGCATCATCCCGGCTCTATTGTGGACTTATCTTCACCCGAAACATTTCCTGGCAATAAATCTTGATGATACGACTCTAGGATAAAATTATCTTCTTGGCCGTAACTTGTGTCTCTTCTCCTCACCAAAGCCCCAGGTGCATCCTGCTCTTATTCTTCCGGTGATTTCACTGGATTAGTGTGGTTAAGTGATACTCACGCAAAGTACGTTGTGGCCACATAATTTTTAGGTGAAGACTTTAAATTATATTAAATGTTGCACGTTTGCAGCCCATTTTCATGGCTTTTGGGGGCTATCTGGATCTGACACATATTGCCTTACTGTTCCACTCTACAACTACATTATTCTGCTACCTGTGATCCTTCCTTGAATATTTACATTGTAATTTACTTTATGTGATGCGGTTGGGTAGCGCCTAGGATAAACAAACTGAGAGCGGATTGCCGTTCTGCGGAGAGTAAGGAACAGCAGCGGCACTCCAGTACGTCTCTGAAAAACTTCTAGAGATATTTGTTTTGTTTTGTTTTACAGCTTGTTAAACTAACCCTTTAACCAGCTTCTTCCCAGCATCTCGTTTTCCGGTACATTCTGCTGCGGGCGCTTCACATAGATATTTTTTGTAGCAACCTCATTAATAATTCAGAAATATTAAACTCACATTTTTAAAGAACAACAACAACAAGAGTACTCAAATGTCCACATACTGTTATTTTCCTCCCTCCGTAGGACTTTAGGATTTTGATGTGTGGTGATGCCTCAGTGCTTTTGACGGCTAGCTGGGGTCTGCTCTCCCGAAAACGGCCATTGCAGGCGTCCAGCACCACGGTGTCACCGCCTTCCCGCGCGGCTACGCCGCAATTGCAGGCGGCGGCGGAGCGGCGGCCTCCGCAATCCCACTGCCGAACGTGCACTTCAAAGGCCCGCGACACGCTCCGGCACAAAAGGAAGGTGCCGATTTTATAGTTATCGTAGCGCCTAAACAGCAACAAACAACAAAGAGGATTCAGAGACCCAGAGCGTCCACCTGCGGCGGCGGCTTGTCGGTCCTCGCGCAGCGGCGTCGTGGCTGGCCGTAAGGGAGGGAAAGATCAACGCGCAGGGAAGCGTCGCCCCGGCACCGAAAGCAAGGGAACGCCATCGCCGTTATTAGCTGGAAGCGCGTGAGAGCTGACGTGAGCAGCGGGGAAGCCGTCTCCCAGCTGCTGCTATGGCAACGAGTGTGGATGAAAAGGGTAAACATTTGGTAAAAAGCAAATGGAGAAAAAAGTCCCTGCCTCCGGGCCTCAGTAAGTACGTCTGCGTTGTGGCAGGATGCTGTACAGCGTGATATTCTTCAAAGCAACATCAGCGCTCAGATAACCTCTTCTGTGACTAATCACTAACTTTTACAAGGCTGACTGTGCCGGGGCGAGTGCTTCCTGCGAAAAACTGGAATTCTACTGAAAAGCCGTTCCCCTCTCAACAACTTCTCGGGAAGTACAACTTCCGCTCTAAAGGGATCGGCAGCCGGCACGCTGCAACGTGTTGGACAATTTGGGACTTTCATTCTTCTCTGTGCAACAAGTCCTTGCTCCATCTGAGTGAGGCCACGAGTAGAATACCTTGAATAACCTGAATAACCTGAATAACCTGAATAACCTGAATAACTTGAATAACTTGAATAACTTGAATAACTCGGCAGCTGTTTCCCCTCTGCACGAGCCAGGTAAAACTCCTCCCGGCTGCAGCCCCTTGGGTTTCTACAGCAGGAACCTGCAAAAGGAGCTTCCTCTACTACTTCTTCTCTGTTTTCTCAATCCATAAGCTTGTCTTATTCTTTATTTTATCCTAACGTGATGTATAAAAGCAAAGAAAACAGTAGCTGTATACTTTATATATGATACTGGAGTTTTCCCCTCACAAACCAACAGCTGCCGTCTTTAAAAACGATGGCTTATTCTATGTCCTTTTAAGGCACTGCATTTAGTTTTAAACACGATTTTTAGGGAATACAATGAAAACTAAGCTATAAGCTTGTAATAATAAGCGTTATTCTTTTCTACAATAAAAAAGAAAATGTAAAAAGAAATGTACAAAAAAATTAAACTAAATAACAGGATTTTTTTTAAGTACTGTCATACAAACAGCAATATTTTTTCAGTCTGTTAATGTTTCCCATACAGAGGAACAAATGGCTAAAGAACCAAGGTTTTTTAGCATGTATATGTCTGCACTTTATTTCTTTTCAGAATGAAAACCATAGAAAGCTATGGAGCTTAAAACACAATAAGAATTTAAACTCCAACTGCTTTTCTCTGCTAGAAAACACATTTGACTTTATCTTTCATCTTGAAAAATGTATTGAAGTTGGCCATGAAACGATAAGATTTTGAATGGCTCTGTCTCATCTTATTTTCTAATCAGGTACATAGATCCTAAGTACCCTGTGCAGATGCTGTTGCTGAGATTGATTAGAACTAAGGACAACATAAAAAATAGATAATGTCTTTTAACATCAAGTACTAGCTCCATTTGGACATCTTCACAGGAGAGACAGAGGAGACAGGATATTTTTTGAGAATCACCTTCCACAGTTCCTTCAACAGGGGGAGCTTAGAAGGAAAGATGTTTATAGAGCTTGATGGAAAATAATGCATCAGAATGGCTGCACCCGGACTAATCAGCTGTGTCTGGTAAATAAGACTCTATTAGCATATGCATGTAAATACCGTTGCAGTTATAGGAGCTATTTACTGCTTCATAAACATTGACAGTGGACCCAATCCAACTGTCCTCGAAGTCACTTAGAGTTCTTCAATTAAGTCATGGCATAGATTGCATAGCACATAACCAATCTACAACGTCTAAATTGAAGCTTTCAGCTGCCTTTGAATTACCTGTATGGATAACTGAATCTAGTCAGGTAAACTTTTGTGATGTTTACACAACTGTAATTGATGTAATGATTCTTTGGACGATATTTGAGAAATTGCTTGTGGTGCTAAAAGCATGACGTAGGGTTACTGGAGCTCTTGCATGAGGGAGCTCCGCGTATCCTTTGTGCACTAGGCACCACTGCTTGCCTCTAAATCGCCCTTCACTTCCCCATCCTGCTGCCCTAATGGTCTGAGGCAGGAGATGTACTGGGTGGAAAGTGGTTCCCTTCCTCCCCATCCATGTGTTTGGGTTGTTTTTCAAGGAGTGCATCAGGTTCTCGTCCCAACATGAAGTCATGGCTCAAATTGTGTGCTTAATCCAGGAATTATAAAATGCTCCTAAGTCTTCGATTATGACAGGGGATGTTATATGAATCATTTCTGTTGGCTTAAGAGAGGGATGGAAGGGAATATAAATATATGCAAACAATTGCTACTAGTAGCATTAGATTAACTAACACAATACACTTACTATCCACTAAGCTACACTTCTTATTCATTCCGTTATTATTGTGGCTGCTCCTAAAGATTTTCCACACAGTTTTGCCACCAAATAATTTGATTTGTTGACCTGTTCCTCCAGGCTTCCTTGCTCCTAGGTCCCTAGAACTATTTATAGAATCATTAAAGTTGAGAAAGACCTTTAAGATCATCAAGTCCAACCGTCAACCCAACACCACCATGCCCACAAAACCATGTCCCGAAGTGCCATGTCTGCAGGTTTTTTCAACACTTCCAGTGATGGTGACTCCACCACTTCCCTGGGCAGCCCGTTCCAATGTTTGACCACTCCAACATTTTGTTCTAATTGTGACCCTCGGAAGTTCTGGGTGATGCTGGAGGATGACCTCTAGTTTCAGAGCGCTCATCACTGGGCTGACTGTGTTGTTCTCAGGGAACGAAGCTGCTGGGTTATGTTCAGCAGTTGCCGGATGCTTGAGGACATATAAACTTCTACAGACCATCAAAAAGAACTGCACCTCTGGGAGGGCTGCTTATGTCCAGGACTTAGCTGTGGGCTACTGTGATGAATGCCATCAAAACCCACTACAGGCATGAAGCGGTGGAAGCCGAGGGGTTTTGTCATTCTGCAGGAAATGATGCCGTTCCACCGGGATAATATCAATGGATGGATTATCATACAAGTTTGAGAAAACTCAAAAAACTTTTTTTTTTAAGTTAAAATGCAAAATAATATGAATATTATATATAGCTCACCAATCAAGAAATATTTTCCTTTTTATATTTTGCCTTGAAAGGATTTTCTGCATATTTAGTTTTAAGCTAGTACTTTATATTTAAGAATCTACAATTTATGGCATGAAAAGCTTTTATATTTATAATGTGCCATAACTAGTAATGAGGGCTATACTTTTGCTTTACCAGGCTTTCACATTTGTTTAATTTAGAAGGTACTTTGCTATAAAAGGAAGTGGTCTCTCTGGATTTTAGCTAGTATAATTAACGCTATTTCACATCTATGCTCCAATATACACAAATTGATTGTGCTTACACTGTACAATATGACACATTCTGCTTTGATTTTCAGTCACTTCCTTTGGTCAAAAGAATGAAAAGATTACAAGATAAATATTTCTACAGAAACATATTAGCAAGAGGCATACCAAAGGGGAGTGTTATCATCAGAAGTCAGGTTTTTCAGTTTTCTAATGAATAGCTAACTACCTCAGATGTAAAGTGAACTTAGTATGTCAGATTAAAAATCATTGAAAATATTGCTATAGAAGTTACAAAATTAAGTATTATTGTGAAATCTTACAAATCAACCTATACATTGGAAGTGAGCATTTCAGTAGGAAACTTTTACTACCAAAATGTCTTCCAGTCTTTTGTTTTCCATGCCATTTTTCAATTTTCCAACAATTCTGCTAAACAAATTATTAGAATCAATGTTTTAAAATTAAGTTAAATTTTTATGAGCTTTGCTTTTCAGTTAAATTTTGGAAATCAAAAAGGTTGCAATTTCTATTTTCATGTCTGCTTTCATCCTTGCTTTTCTCCATTGCGCATTTTTCCTTCTCTTCACTATTGCTAACGGGAAAATATGAAAAGGTAAGCAATTCTGTGAAAGGCAGGAGTATGTTTACGTGCATGTCTATCTGCATAGAAAACACTCCTACTGTTTTGCTGTTGGCGATGATGTTCCCCATCTTCAGCCTTTCCCTTGCTTTTCATGTGACAGCCCTTCAGTGAGCCATCCCCAGGACCTGAGTGGGTGGGAATGCTGCCAAAGAGACAACTGATCACCACCCATTCCCAGCAGCTCTGCCTACGATGTTTTGATCTTGGAGCCCGCTGTCTCCTGGTAAGCTGACCTGCAGGCTTTGTGGTGTAAAAAATGGATTTCCTTGGGTTATATGGTTTGATGGATGTTCTGCTGTTGATCTCAGAAGCAGGTTTGGTATTTTTGGTATTAAGCTTTGTTTGCTGCCATCTTTGTAGCCATACAGAGATGGATAAAGGCTGCTATTTCCTTCAGTTCTCTTTGGCTAATTTTGGATGGTTTTTTTTTTCTTTCCGGTGTAATGTTCTAACCTGAGCCTGTGTCTACAGGTCATTTATGGTCAACGTAGCTCCTGATGCCCAAGAGCTGATGCTCCACTCATCTTCTCAGCCTAATTGCTTCATAGTCCCTAGGATAATTTTCTCTTGGCTTTTTCTCTTCTCTTGCTTCGCTGTTTGCAATCTGCAGATCGGTCTCTTTCTGATACATTTTTGTTCTTGAGGGACACTCATGTGGTGTCTCACTTGAGCCTACAAGCTTTTTGTATAATTCTTCCATTCACAATACGTAAAGCACAGCTCATTTCAAACACGACTTCCCACCACGTACCAAAGGGGAATGCGTTCCCCACTCCTTAGATACAGCGCTTTAAAATCGTTTGCTAAAGTGCTAACATTTTTTGGATAGGCAGACAGAGAAGTTGCTTAACTGATGTGTAATAGGGTGACATAATCATTACAATAATTGAAAGAGAAATTATTTACAATAATAAATGGGAATATAAGTAGGAGTAATGGGACTGTGAAATGATGGGTAAGAAACTTGGCTGAGTATCAAGAAGTGATATATCTTAGTGAAATAACCACTTATTGAGATGGCAGAAGCTCCATCAACTTGGCTTATTTAAAGCTACACTGGACAGAGCAGTAATGAACGTCCATCCACAGGGAAAAAACTTGCAGATCTCAAGGAGCCAAGCTAATCCTGGGATTTTTCCGTGTCAAGGCTATGTGATTCTTAGGCAGGGTGCAACAGAGGATGAACTTTTCCAAAATCACTGTGCTCAAATATAATTGTAAATTGCTTAGAAGCATTTCTGTGTGATGTTAATAACAGGGTTGCAAAATAAGTTATTAAAATAAAATAGCTTTATTTTATTTTAGACCTTTTTTTTTCCCATGGAAGCTGTGTAAAAATGTACTATGTGTCTGAGAGCATTCCCTCATTCCAAAAGGCACTTTTCAGTAATTTATGACCTCCTAAACACAACAACCTGGCAGATCACTGTCCTTTCTTAGCCCTAAATCAGAAGGGAATATTGTAGAATATAAATGTATAGAGAGTTTTGAGATAATATTCTAATCTAATTTAATATCCCAGAGTTGAAATAATTGGAAATACCATGAGGCAAGGGAATGTCTTTGCACCTCTTTTAGCTCTTCTGCAGCTTCTACACATTGAGCAAGCAAACTTGCTTGAAAGAAGAGCCTGACCACATTTTAAATGGTATTCAGCAAAACAGGAGGGAAACTGGAAAGCCCTAGATGTGCAGAGCTAATCTCCTAGCTGAGACTACCCAGTTTAGGTGATATCTTTATTTGAGGCTGATGTATTGTATAACCTTTAAAGGAGCTGCTTGCCTTTCTGCCTCTCATTTCATCGACAGATTTCTCCAGCTTTGGCGTCATTTCAGATGCTACCTCCAGAGCACGCTGGACTGAAATTGGGACATTAGGATATCAAAATTAGAATATCATGCCTGCCGAGCCCCTGCGGACGTTGTGCACCTAAAGTCATTATCTGTGCCATTAGGAGGTTAATAGTGGAATGACAAACCTGGAATGTGATCTGAAATATTAGCAACTTTGGATCAAACATGCCAGATGCAAACTTTAAAAACTTTCTGTTATGTTAAATAGCTTCACGTTATGTTAAGTAGATTAATGAATGATTAGGGAAGTTAACTGAAGAAAGGTTCTGTACAGTACAGGTTGTCAAACACAAAGATAGCACCTTTGTCTCAGTAAGTCTTTAAGCAACTTATTTCTGGATAATATAGGAGGACATCTGGACAGCACAAGATG